AGGTGCCTGTTGTTATCACCACTGTTCCTGTTATACCAGCATCACTGTTGGAGGTCATTCAGGGAGCTACCCGTATGGAATTAAGATACAGGAGAAGGGCTGAAGCTGTAGCTAGAGATGTGGGAACCCTCTGCACAAAAGTGGGGAGAAAGTGTGTCACTAGCAGGGCAGGGCAGCCCCTGGGAGTGCCAGCCTGGGGAGTGAGATGGAGGAGGGAGAGCCAGGGAGGAGACGAGGGCAAGTCAGCAGGGAAGGAGGTCAGGCTGCAGGGTGTACACCATCAGAGAAGAGTATGTCAAGAAGAGGGGTGATGGTCAGCATCATCTGATGCTGCAGGAAGGTGGGGTGGGCCAGAAGGCAGCTCTTAGATTAGGTGATCAGGAGGCCGGCTCTTCACCGGCTCATTCGACACCAGAGCAGAGCAGCTCGAATGTTTAGGTTACTCCTAAAAGTCCGGCAGCTCAAGTCTGAGTCCCAAAATAGAATCCTTTCTGAGCTGAACCCCTCCCCACTTTTCTGCAGCTTAATAAAATCAAACAATTGCATGAAGCAAAAGGCCCCATCAGCAGTCCTGCCTACGTCCTTCTCCCGGACTAAGGCCAGCTCCCCCATTCCAGCTGCGAGTAACATCTTCTGGGCAGTGTGTCATGGGTGGAGAAAGGCAAGCCCACCCTCCCTGTTGGTCCAACAGCCAAGGATGGTCACTCTTGGCACTTCTCTGAATTTTGACCTCTGTCAAAAGAGGCCAAATATTCTGAGAAGTCGTCTCACTTAGAAACTGGATTCAGTGCGCTAATAAGTGATACCATTTTTGAACTTTGGCTTTATTACACGTGCAGTAGTTTGAGTTCACTCGGTGTTCAACATTATTAAGCACCTCCTGTATATCAGGTGCTCTACTAGGCACAGAGGGTGTAGATAATCCCTTTTCTTTCAGGAAGACTTACTCGACTCCATTCTTTCCTCATACACCCACACCCACTCACCAGGAAGTCCTGTTGCCTCTGCCTTCAGGATATTTTAATCTGACCATTATCGCATTATTTCTACTGTTAGCACCCTCTTGTCTGGAATATTGCAGTAACCTCCACACAGATCTTCCTGCTCTGTCCTTGCCCTCCTACAGTCAGTTTTCATCACAGAAACCAAAGAAATCTTTTTAAAACATATGGCAGGTGCAAGAGTGTTGAGATAGTGGGAGAGCTGCAAGAGTGGAGAGACCAGCAATTTCAAATACTGTAGTCAACGCTTGAACAAACCTTTGAAGTTGGTAAGGACGGGAGCTAGGCTGCTATCTGGGGCAGGAGCTTTCTAGACAGAGGGAACAGCAAATGCAAAAGCCCTGGTGAGGTGAGCAAGGGCCTGGAGAAACAGAAAGGAGGCTGGTGCTGCGGGAATGGAGTAAGCCCGGGGAGAGTGGGAGGAGCTGAAGTCTGAGAGATACGGAGGGACAGTTTGGGTACGGTCTTGTGGGGAATATATCTGAGGTCTGTCCATTTGGAGCTGGGAGCCATTCATTCATTCATTTCATTTTACAAACGTTTCTTATGTGGCTGCTAGGTGTCTGGCACTATGGTAGGTACTAAGGATACAGTGATAAGCAAAATAGACGTTGGCCCTGCCCTCTACATGGAGCATACAGTCTAGTGGGAGAGATGGGCATTAATCAGATAATCACACAAGTTAGTGTATGGTTACCAACTGTCACAACCACAGCACCCTTCAAGAAGAATAACAGGGGGCTCTGACCTAGTCTAGGGGGCTTCCAGGAAGGTTTTCCTGTGGAAGTAACATCTGGTCTGAGATCATATCAATGATGAGGAGTTGAGTGGGTGAAGAGGGGTGGGATGCTCTTGGATGAAAGGATGCCAAGGGCAAAGGCCCTGGGATGGGAAAGAAGTGGACGGAGGCCAGTGGGACTGGCATGTGCATGAAGGGAGAAAATGCAAGCTGAGGCTGGAGAGGAAAGCAAGGCTGGAGTATGAACCTTGGGTGTCATGGTGAAGATTTGGGGTTTTATCCTAAGAATCATGTAAAAGCATTGAGGAGTTTTGATCAGAAGGTGAAATAGATCAGAATTGCAAATGTTTTGGAAAAAATCCCCCTTACAACGTGGAAGATGGAGTTGAGGTGGGAAGGCAAGCAGGGTGGGGTGGACTCTTCAGAAGCTGTTGCAGTGGTGCAGGTAAAAGAGGACGATGATAACTTGAAGTAGGGAGAAAAGGAGAAAACTAGATGAGATTGAGAGGTGACTTGGAGATAAAATCTGTAATACCTGGTAATGGGAAGAGAGACTATTTGAGTCTCAAAATTAGAGAAGAGAAACACTCCTACACAAAAGGAGGAACAAGCAGACATTATAAACTTCATGATGGGAGGCAGTGGGCAGCACAAGGGCCACCTACAATGTTTTCTTGCCTAAAAAATTATAACTGAATTTAAGCAAGCCTTTAGACCTAACTGCCAGTTTGTAGGAAGCACACAGGATAGATGAACAGGTTAAACGGCACTACAAGGAAGAAATTAACCAAATCAGAATGTGGGACATTCCAGGGAACAAATAACATGATGTTGCCAGTAAACCAATGGCATGAAATAGAACATAAAAAAGACTTAAGAAATAGAAGACAATATTATATGTTTTATGCCATGTGCGGACCTTGTTTGGATCCTGATTCAACAAACTAAAAGACGTCTTTGTGAGAAATAGAGAATTTTGAGTACAGACTTGGTTTTAAATAATATTAAGGAATTACTGCTCATTCTGATATGTATACTGATGGGATGGTGGTTTTAAATGTGTGCGTGGGTACACTTACATACATATTTAAATGAATATTGGAAATGCATACTAAGTTTTTGAAATGATATGACCTCTTGAATTTGCTTAAAACACTCCAGAAAAGAAAGAGTGGCTTGTGATAAATTAAACTGGCAAAATGTTGCTAATTCTTGAAGCTGGGTCATGGATACTTGGAGGTTTATTATACTATTCTCTCTATCATGGGGTACATTTGAAATTTTGCATAATAAAAAAGTTAAAAACAAAACTTCATGGAAAGTAGAGTTCACACTGAAATAGGGAACACAAGAAAAGAACCAGGTCTGAGGGGGAAATGATGGGTTCAGTGGACACGTTAAGTTTGACGTGCCTTTGGACTTCTAAATGGAGGTGTCCTGGATGCAGCAGGTCGGGCGTTCTGAAGATCTCTGCTCCTGAGATATAAAAGTGAGTGTAGATGGTGACTGGAGCTGCAGGGACGGAAAACTGTCAAAGGAAGGAATACAGCAAGATAAGAGAGGGCCCAGGAGTAGACTTGGAAGAACTGGAAAACATAGTGTTCAGGGATAGAAGCATGAGCTTTGTGACTAAGGAGGACTAGCCAGAAGTCTGAAGGGTCACAAATGCCAAGGGAAGCAAATGTTTCCAAAAGGAAGAAGGGGTAACAGAGCCGAATGCTGCCAAGATGTCAAGCAAGCTGAAGATTAAAATGAGTCCATTGGGTTTGTGTCATGGATGGACATTGCTGCCTGTGTGAGGCTGCTTAAGTCAAGGGACGGGAGTAAGGTGAGGCATGAATGGGAGGTGAAGAAAAGGAGACAGAGAGTCTAGACAACTCTTTGAAGAAGTATGTCTGTGAAGAGGAAGAAAGAGGGTGGTAGCTTAAGGGGACAGAGTGAGGAAATAAGAGGGATTTTTGTTTTTAAGGTGAGACATTCTTGAACACATTAAAATGACGAGAGGAACGATCTAGAGAAAGGAAAAGGTGGAGGAAGGACGGTCAGTAATGTAAGGTTCCTGAGAGGGCAGGAGGAGATGAGTTGGGGAGTTGAGCCTTGGGACAGGAGGAGGGATGGCTCCTTAATTCTGTTAGGAAGTCATGGGAGATGATCCATGTGGGTAGCAGAATGCCGATGTTCTTCCTTTGAGGTTTGTTTTCCCCCAAGAAGTAGGAGGTGATGCCACCTGCTGGTGGGGAGGAGGGAGTTGGGGGATTGGAGAGGTTAGGGTCCTGGAGAGGGTTGGAATTAGTCATAGAAAAGGAAGAGTATGTGAGCAGCAAAACATGGGAGGATTGCCAAGCGGGGTGGAGGCTGGTGATCATGGTCTGACAGGAGAGTTGGTGGGAGACGGAGCCAGGTCAGGGTAGGTGGTGTTGGTGGAAGGCAAAGATGGTGTGGATGTCAGCATTGGGAAGAGGTCCCTGTGGCCAACTTGATCAAAGGGGACATCATGGAGGATATTGCACCTTGGCTATGAGCAGATGCTTTTGATGGTGAGAGCTTGAAAATGGTGCTCAATGTCTTCCCAACTCCAAATTCTGATCTCATATGACAAGCTGCTGCCCCCCTTAACCCTTCACTCCTTGGCCCTGCCCCCCACCTCCTGTTTCAAAATAGTCCTCGACTCTCCAAATCTGATATGGTTTCAAGGTCAGGGTTGGTTGCCAGTTAAAAAACATGCTGTTGCCTCCCAGTTCCTGCCAAACAGCAAGGAGTTTGGTGAGCCTGAGCCCAAGCTGCGTGGGCAGGCACGGTGGTATGAGGCAGACGGGGTTTCTCCCCAGTTGGGGGGCTCAGACAAGACTGGGCAGCATGAGGTGGAGAGGCCAATTGCAAAACAGCTCTCTTAGGCCCGCTACCCACTGTCTTCACCCCTCACACGAGGCTCTTCAAAAACATGAAGGATGGCGTTTCACTTGCGGCAAGAGTTGTAGATGCCACCAAGCCTTGCAGTGGGCTTTTCCCCACACTTGCGCAAGCTCTGTCTCCCTCGTCGACCAGTGTTGGCACCAGAGCACATTCTCGTCATGCTCTTCTCAGACCCACCAGCTCTCTGCAGGGCTTGTGCTGCCTGCCCTGTCTCTGAGGTTGCTGCAGTGAGTGGCACCTGCTGGTTGCAGCCAAAACACGATTAGGGAAAATGAAACCCCATCGGGACATATTGGGAGGACTGAGCAACACTCTAGGCACTTAAAGCGTATCGTTTCTCTTTCCAGCTTGACTCAGGTGATCCGAAAGTTTGCCAAGCAGCTGGATGAGTGGCTAAAAGTGGCCCTCCACGACCTCCCAGAAAATTTGCGAAACATCAAGTTTGAACGTAAGTACGAGTTTGGCAGCAGAGGGGAAGGGAGAACATTTTAGCGCCAAATATTTTACATACGTTGTTAATAACTATAATAATAATAAAGGCTACCATTTACTGTTTGCCTACAAAGCACCAAGTATTATGCTTAGTGCTTTCCATGCATTAACTTATTTAATTCTCACAAAATGTTTATTACGGGTGGCACACTTCTTTTATAGAAAAGGAAACAGGCTTAGAGGTAGTAAGTAGCAGAGGCAGGATTTGCTCCCAGGTCTCCCTGTTGACACCAACGTTTCTGCTCATCTCATTTAATTCTCACGCCACCTCTGCAATGTAGGAAACAATATCCCCATTCTACAGATGAGGCTCCGACAGGCAAAGAAAATTCCGCAAAACCACACAGCTGGGAACTAGGGACCAGGAGTCAAACTCAAGTCCGTCTGACCCCAGAACTCAGATTTCCCTGAAGTTCCTGCCTACAAAATGGTGGAAACAGGAGACAGGAAACAGCTTCAGGGCTTCACATATTTACTTCTCTGCCTAATGAGAAAGCCAAATTAATATTTCTCATAAGGGGATTGGGACTGTGCATGTCTTCTCTGCTGAGCATCACCACTCATTCCCCAGCATCAGTCTTGCCTGAGAAAACTGGTCCTATTTCTGTCTCGATGCGTCTTGTACTTGTAGGAAGACTCACGTGCTGTTACACAAAGGTGAAATGATTTTAAGCAAAACACAGTTTTAAGATATATGTTTCTGAAAGCCCTATTTGAATACAGCTTGCCATTCGTGCCCGAAATAAGTGCCAGCGAGGAAAATGAAGGAGATCAAATTACCCTCTCTCCACAGGCAAAGCGGGCCTTTCAGACGTGCTTTGAGGCCGCCTGCAGTGTCCATCACCTATTGATAAAGCCCGCTTTATTTCACGGCTCTCAGTTCTTTTCTTTTCCCGAGCACTAAATTCCACATCACAAAGTTAAAGAAAAAGTAATTAAGGAGAAGGATTAACGATTGATCGGCCCGGAAAATTAGAAGTTCATCTGTGCCCCCCACCCCCCATTTCTCCGTCCCACGCCCTATTTTTCAAACCAAGTTGGCTCTGAGCACAAATTAGAATAATCCCAGGGAAACTTCTGCTCCTTGACCAGTTCAGGAATTAATGAGAAGAATGCCCTGCACCTGTTTTAATTATGCTGACAAAACAAACCTGTTGAGGTCTGCTGGCCCTTCCACCTGTGGGTGCCTTGGAGCGCCCTTCAAGAACGTGCAAGGAGTGGAAACACACACCACTCCAAATGACTCTGTAAGAATAAAGACCTGGGCAGGCACATGGCCTGTCTGCGGCGAAATCTACAGATCACCCGGCTTCAAATCACCAGCCTATTATGGCAGCATAGGCAACAGGATCCTCAAAACATGCAAATAGGTCATGGAGATCATTTGATAAAATGATGGATGAGGAATGCAAAGCCACATTGAAGGTTCAGCCCAGGGTTGCCTAGAGGCAACCCCTAGCACCACACGCCGCTGAGGTTCAATCAGGGTTTCCTATTAGATAAACTACTTTTTTAAGGGCCTTCTTCAAAGCTTCCACTTGATTCCTGCAATTATTTATGAGGAGAAGCGATTGAGCTCGCAATTAGCGAAATGAAAGACAAGTAAATAATTGCTTTTACTCACGGTTGATTGACGCCACAATTTCTCACACCTGCCAGTGTGGCGTGTGTGTGACTTTGAAATATGTACCCCAAATATCACTGTTCGGAAATAGTTGTGGAAGCCCAAATGGGAGAACGAAGAATTAAACTCAGGGTTTTGCCAGTGGGTGCATAAAATGGGGTTGGACAGTGAGACAAATCTAGGCAAATAAGGAAGCTACTTTTTGAAATCTGCCCGTGGCAAATCCAAGGGAGGACCATAAAGCATGCAAATATTTCAAACTAACTCTTTTTTTCTTCTTCCAGTGTCGAGGAGGTTTTCCCAAATTCTGAGACGGCAGACATCACTAAATCATCTTTGCCAGGTAGCCATCCTGTGTTGTGTGTTCTAACTCCTGCTAGGTCATTGCACAGGAAGGGCGAATCCACAGACAACTCCCTAGAGGACGTGTCGGGTGTTTAACAGCACTCTCTCACTATTCAGTTTCTACAGATAAGGAGTAGAAACATTAGCCCATCACTAGATACTTTCCACTAACATACAGAATGTTTTCTGACGTCAGTTGCCCCTTAACCTTTCCGATACGTTCTAGGTCCCACCAGTGGGTCTTTTCCCTTAAAGTCAATCGGGGTTTCTCAGCCACTATTGGCATTTGGGGCTGGGTAGTTCTTTGTTGTGAGGAGTCGTGTTGGGCCTTGTAGATGTTTAGTAGGGTACCACCTTGGTTGTGACAATCAAGAATGTCTCCAGACACTGCCAAATGTAGCCTAGGGGGTGCAAGGTCACCCCTGGCTGTGAAACACCGAGATAAATGATTCAAGCAGATGAAGAGGATGATTTGTTTGTTGTGTTTGTGTCATCCAGAAGAGTTAAAGCCACGTAGTATATTATACACCAAGTTTTGTTTATTTTTTCAGATTTCTGTTCTTTTTAGCACAAAGGTGACATATGCTTGCTATAAAAAACGTTTAAGATAACAAAAGTGTATATAGTAAAAAGTGGAAGATCCCACTGTAACTCCATAGTGATAACTTGACTGCATAAAGTGTTGCATTTCTATTAATTTTGCACCTTAAGGAAGGGAATCTAAGTCTTTGGGCAGTCCGTTAACATTCATTAAAATATTAATGATCTTAAAGCAGAAGGGGCAGACTGGTGGCTACAGATCAAATCTGGCCCTCAGATGTGTGGGGTTATTTTTGTTTGATTTGCATATGTTCAAAAATTTTTTCACTTAGTTGCTAACAGTTGAAACTGGGAGATGACAGTTAAACACCCAAATTTTCTGTAGAAAAATTTTAAGAGCTGGCAACCCCAGAGCTACATTTCCCCAGGGCAGTAATCAGCTGGCTGGGCTGAGCTTCTGTCCCGCAGGCACTGTCCTCCTCATGGCCCCCACTTTCTCTTACACATGGCCCACCTCGCTCATGTATGTCACCTGCCTGCCTTCTTTCTATGTTTAGGTTTGCAGCCTCTCCCTTCTCCAGTTGGTTCTTGGTTGGTGCCGGTTATTCGAGGTCAAGTTGGGAGGGAGGGATTTCTGGTTAGAGTGGCCTGAAGGAAGCCTCCAGACCAGGAACCAGAAAGTGTAAAACTACACGTACACACACCTCACTGTTCCTGCCCTGCCCTTGGCATAAATGGCACAGGGGGTGGTTTGGAGACCACAAGGAAACCCTTCCACATTCGGGCAAGCCAGTATAGAGACCACACCTGGGCATTGTTCTGGGAATGGGCAGAGCCTGACAGACTCAGGGAAGCAAACAAATACTGGCGAAACAAAGAAACACTGCCATATTTCCGAAAGCACGTACCTTCTGGGTTTTTTTCCCAGCTTGGAAGAGCTGGTCCTGGGTCATATCAGGGCGCGAGATGTTGTTTGGGTGCCTCTGTCTGGGGCTCAGACAGTTTAGGAAAGCCTTTGACCTGTTAGTGCACGTATAGGTAAAAGCATCCACATCCATGCATATAACCACCCGCACGCACACGCACGTGCACACATACACACACACACACTCCTTCTCTCTCCACTCCCCACACAGGTAGTGTATAATTTAATCAGCAAATGCTACCTTTCCATCTTGGCTGGCCGGCTATCAGACACATTCCAGGATCAGCCAGAGGACTAGGGTTTGTGTTGGGAATGAAACACCATGGACCCCTCTTAGCTAATAGCCCAGTGAGCTTTCCTAAACACATACGAGGCGAGTCAGACTAAACGACATCTAGCCGAAAACTTACCCCAAATGCTTAAACCAAGATCTGAATATCAAGGCCCTTTTAGATATACTAAGCGAGCAACTTGGCGTTTACATCTCAGCCGTTCATCCCACAAAAATCTTTGGCGTGCCTACTGTGTGCCAGACACTGTGCTTAGTGGTACCTGCTACTAAGTGGAAAAAAAAAAAAGTAAACCAAGAAATAATTAAAAGTGATAAAGGTTATGAAGGAAACAGAATGGAAGTAGAGAATAATGGGGCACTTAGGTTCTATTTCGATAAAGTGGTTAGAGAAGGTTTCTCTGTGGGTGTGACATTTGAGTTGGAGCATACATGATGGCAAGGTTGCCAGGGCAGGGTGAGAGAATAGAATGTTTCAGCAGGCAGGAACACCATGTGCCAAGGCCCTGAGGTGTCAATGCAATCACTACGAAGAGAACCGACCTGAATAACAGTAGCCTCCTTTACTGAGCTCTTACTCCCTGAACTATGCACTTTTCAAACATTATCTCAAGGAATCCGCAACAGCAGCCCTCCTTCAGAGGTAGGTACTGTTACATCTCCATTTTATAGATCAGGAAACCGAGGTTAATCTACTTGTCTGCCCCAAATCAATGTGCAGGTGAGCAGCAAGGCCAGGATTTGAACTAAGTATATTTGAATCCAGAACCCCGGCCCTTTACATTTGCTTGTTTCCATTATCATTAGAGACTGACCCAATTCATATTCATATATTCTAAGCCTCTGTGACCTTCAAAGAGTTCTACAAGGATTTAAGTGAGATTTCCTTGCGCTCAGACAGTCTGGGTGTAAAAGGGGTTGTCAGTATTTATGTTTGCCTCGAAATTCACAAGCATTAGGAGACTTAGAATGTCCATGTATATTTGAAATCCCTTTTTTCATTTCATGAAAGACATTTTTGAAAATATGTAAGTGAAGGAAGTGATTCTGGAGATGTTTTTCTTTGCTTTTATCGGTATTGTTCCAACTTGGTAGTTCCAAGTATTATGCCAACTTCCAAGTTTAAGTTCTAATGAGGGTTGCTGAGGAAGCCACAGGTTAAACACATACATACACACACATATTTACATTAATAAACAACTGAGTCTTGAAGTGTGCTTTCCCTTTTCTTACATCTCAATTATTCATATTTGTTTTAGTCATTATAGTTACATAAAAAACAAAAAGCAAAATCAGGGGGCTGGCCTGGTGGCATAGTGGTTAAGTTCACATGCTTTGCTTTGGTAGCCTGAGGTCCACCGGTTTGGATCCTGGGCACAGACCTACACATCACTTATCAAGCCATGCTGTGGAGGCATCCCACATACAAAATAGAGGAGGACTGGCACAGATATTAGCTCAGGGACAATCTTCCTCAAGCAAAAAGAGGAAGATTGGCAACAGATGTTAGCTCAGGGCTAATCTTCCTCACCCCCAAAAAAACACAAAACCCCACAATATCAGAAAACTAGGCCATAAACTTCTTCAGAATGTATTTGTATGAAAAATATACACTGTAAAATTTCCGAAGTTAAGGCTTTCATAGGCCCAGGAGTAGCAGGACCATTCCTAGATCTGGGCCTGTTGCTTCTCAGGCGCTAGAGGTACACGGGTTATTAAGCACAGAGCTCCTGTCCCACAAGCTTATATCAGAAGGCTGACAGATCTCTGGGCTTCATCCCATTGTTCCATGGGGTCAAGACCAAAGGGGCTGGGAACACCAGGGTTTGGTCTAGCATAGGACACGTTGCGGTAGTTTCTTATAAAAAGAGATGTGAGGAGAGAGTCACCAGGGAAAACAGTGTACGGATCTTCTGAGTTATGGAGTCATCTGCTGATTTCCTGATACTGAGTTTTCCTAAATTTCAAAGTGGTTTGCAAAATACCATAAGCAGATTCATTAAAATGGCCTAAAAGGAAATAAAGTGAAGGGGTTTTAACCTAACAACCCGTGAGCTAATGAATTGATTGCATTGGATTACAGGCATCTCGAACAGTGATCCACAGTGCAGACATCACATTCCAAATGCTGGAAGACTGGAGGAACGTGGACCTCAACAGCATCACCAAGCAAACCCTTTACACCATGGAAGACTCTCGCGATGAGCACCGCAAACTCATCATCCAGTGTAAGGTGTTCCACCAGGGATCGTGTCTTTCTGTTTGTTTTAAAAAGAAAAAAAACGTATCTTGGTGCATATCTAAGTGGAATTCCCACCCTGTCCCTCTCCCTAGGATCCCGTCCCTCTTATCGTTCCTGTTAAATGGGTCAGCCCAGATGGGAGGGTTAATTGATTTAAGAGGACGTATGTCAACATTGCTGGGGGAAATGGGGGTTCTAGTGCATTGGGCAGCACACAGTGTCATGCAAAAGGCTCCATACGTGACCCTCAATGCCAGATGTAGTTCCATGGGTGGCATAAAAAACAGAGCAAGAGCTTGTTGCCTCTGTCAGTGTGTGTCAGCCTGGAGGCAGCTGGATATGCTGCCTGTTTTCAGTGGAGGGCCATGTGAGTCGGCCCACCTCTTGGCAGGTGACCCTTTAATCAAATGTTTGAGGAGGGGATGTTCGTGTCCCTGTGGACAAAGACTGCAGGAATACTGCTCCAAATATTATCCTGATGTGATGATCAGGTTGGTTGTTCTTAGTAGAAGAGGACATGAGAGTGGCAGAGAACACCACTATTCTTAGCATCTCTGCCATTCCTCAAACGCCCATCAGAGCCTGCTGCCCAGGGCATCCCCCAGCCCAGGGACCCTGGATCAGGCTCTGTTGACTACTTCCTTACTTTGCTCAGCCTTCCGTTCTCATACCTCTGGGGGAAAGTGGACATGGGGGTGGGAAGGGTGAGTCCACACTCCTCCTATCAGCTCTCAGAAAGGTTGGTGCCAAGAGTGTTGGGAGATGGACCCAAGATCCTAAAAGTCATGTCATTCAGGAAGCTGCAGAGTGGCTGTCCTCCCAGAAGAAGCCCCTGGCCCCTTAGATTTCCATCCTCTATATGCCTCTCACACTGTTGTCTTGAGGGAAAACTTTCTTCAGCCAGCCTAAGCATGTTATGTTTATAAACAAATAAAGTTCCCTAAGATGTTCCTCTTAGAGACCTCTTTCCCACTGAGACCTTTCCAAAAGCAAATGGAGCAGCTGAAACATTGGACCACGTCGACCTTCATTGGGGCTTCTCTCTTGGTTGACCCCAGAGCTCCTCTCAGGCTCTTATTTCTTCCTCTGCAGCAGCCCCCAGCCCGCTTTCCCCCTGTGAAGAATTTTAGAGATTGTCACTAAAATAAATCAGCTTACAGAGTGCCTAGTCTATGCTAGATCCTGTGTCAAACCCACCACATGCATCATCTCATTTAATCTCCACATCAACGTCAGGAAGAAGATTCTCTTATTGCCCTCCCACCCTTTTGGAGATAAGAAAACTCAGCCTCAGAGGGTTGGCCAACCTTCCCCAAGGTAGCCAAGCTGGACCTCGAACCCAAGTCTAGTCTCAGCTCCACTACCATGCATTAGTGCTGCTCACTTTGTGGAGGAGCAGAGGAGACAAAAATGATGAGACATGGGCAAGTTTCAGAGGTTTTAGAATCTTTCCAAGTTCTTACAGTCATGCTTCCTGTTCTTTTTCCCTGCTAGAAGGCCAGTGGAAGTGTGGCTATGAGCACTCTAACACCACAAGCCGTACCTCTGATGGTTGTGGCCCCAGGGCCTCATGCAGGGCCAAGCATGGAGGGGGTGCCACTGATGTCTGTGTGGGACCAAATAGTGAATGGAAACCCAGGATGATCCGACTTCTAGTTCTGCCAACCACTGCTAGCAGCATTAGGCTCAGCTTTCTCCTCCTCTCAGCACCTTTTGTGGGGAGGAAAGTGTGACCCAGACTCAAGGGGAAAAATACAGTCACCGTCACTTGCTTTAGGGATCAGGCTCTGAGCCTTTGCTGGGGCACCACGGGGTCACTGCTGCCTCTCCAGCAAAGACCCTGTTGGGGCTTTCTCTTCAAGCTCTCTCAGGCTGGGGGCAGAGTGTCGCCCTTTAGGGCTGAGATTGTATTCTCCTAGAGGAAGGGAGTGATGCGGTTCATTTCAAACTGGGTGGTATTTACTGAATGCCTGTCTTGGGTCAGGCACTGTTAGATGCTGAGCAAAAAGCAGTGAATAATATGGGCACTACCCTTCCCCCATGAAGCTTAGAGCTAACGGTAAACCAGAAGTTAAACAAGTAATTTACAAATGGTTGCGTCTTACCAAAGAGGACATGCTTTGTGATGCAGTGCCAGGAAGAGGGGGATGAGGAAGGGCACCAAGCCTGAAGGCAGTGGCCTGGCACATAGGTGTCATCCCTGCACCTCCCAGCCAGACAGCTGGGAAGTAAGTCCCTGACACAGTGAGCCAGACCAGAGGTCACTTTGAGCAGGGCTAGGGGCAAATGTGTGCTGCACTCTCCTTTCCTTACAACCAGTTGACAAATCTGCAAATTCTTGCGTCAAATCCATGATGTAGATCCCAGCTAGGACTGCTTGGCTCACCTTAAATTAAAAAGTGCGTGCTGGGACGTGAGCATGCTGCTTAGACTGAGTGTTAATGGTGCTATGGTATGAGCATGGAGTTGGGATGGCCAACAGACCTTGATTCAAACCCTGGCTTTTATGCACTGTGACCCTAGCTTCCAAATCTGTAACATGGGGATGATGCAAGGGATTAAATGGGACACTATGTGCCACATGCCTGGTACATGGTGTGGTGCTAATATAGTGAAATGGTTAGGAGGTGAGCACTCAAGTCAGGCTGTGTTTGAAACTTGCCTCTGCCATTCACTAGCTGTGAAACCTTTGGAAAGTTATTCATCCCTGAGTGCCTTTGTTTCCTCATTTGTAAAATGGGGGTAACAATGCCTACCTCCTTGGGTTGTTCTTCCATTCATTCAACAAACATTTGAGCAACTACTGTGCGTACCAGGCACTGTTCCAGGTGCTGGCCTCATGACATGCACATTCTCAGGGGTGTCTGAGGTTAAATGAGCGTGTCCATGTACAGCATTTAGAAGAGTGCCCAGCACATGGCAAGCACTCAATAGATGTTAGCAGTTAGCACTTTCATTGCCACCACTGTCATCATCATCATCTTTGAAGCGCAGTAGCCCAGATACACAGACAGTGTTATGAAGAGTGAAAGAACACCAAAGAGAAATTCAGAGACCTGGGTTCCAGGCCCTCCTCTGTCACTCACTCACGCTCTGACTTTGAGTGAGTCATTTAATCTCATTAAGACACAGCTTCCTCACCTAGAAACTGAGACAGATCAACTAAATGGACTTTTAAAGCCCCTTCTCACTCTACAGTTGTATGACCTTCTGGTCCCGGAAGCCGACCTCTTGTAGCGGTCATCAACTAAGTAAAATAGAGCGGATTGGCCAGTCCTGTGAAGTGGGAGAATGAAAACTGCTCAGACAAATGAAAACTATAGAAATGTGAGGATTTTGAATTATGGTTTGATTTATTGAGCTCTGCACACAAAAACACAAAAAAATGTAAAGAGAAGAGATGTTTCAAATTGGAGTGCACCACAGCTCTCTATAACTTCCTCTTTTCTATAGCGCTTCACTGATGGCAAGTCCTTCCAGATTCAGTTACTTGACTTGCAGCTGAAGACAGGTAGTAAAGTGGAACGATTATCTTCCTTTCACTAATGCAGAAACGGAGGGCAGAGAGATTGTCTCCTTCATTCCACAAATATTTATTAAGCATCTATTGCATGCTGAGCACTGAGAGGCTGGTTAGGCTACTTGCCCAGCATAGTTGTGGTTCAGAAACATGTAATTTATCAAATGTGCCCTACCATAGGGCAGAGGGCAGGAGAGCAACAATGCCTCTACCCATTCATGCAAGCAAGCAAGTACTGGATAACAGCTCTATCAAGGTAATGCACCAGCTAATCGAGACATTAGATAAAGAACTAGCAGGGGAGACGCACACACACACGCACCCCTAACTATGACAGTGTTACTAGTGGTGTAAGGGAGGTAGAATACAGATAATAAAGTGCTATGAAAGTAGAGAGGAGGAGTGACCAATTCCACTGGCAAGGGGCATGGGGAGGTAAAAAGGATTTCACAGAAGGGTCATTTCAGCTGGGCCACAAAGAACCAAACAGCCCAAGCAGAGGCAACTGCCTGAGAAAAGCAGAGCTTGTTGGGAGAAAAGCAAGAGACATGGGGTGGCCAGGGTTTAAAGTGTTCCCAGGCTTGGAAGATGAGCCTGGAAAGGTAAGTTGGGGCATATTTTCTAAAGCCTTGAATGAGCTGCTAAGACTTTGGAGTTATAGTTTATTCAGTTTCGTTCCTCTCTTCTTCTAAGATGCATCTCAATTTAAACACAACTGCAGTGATGTGGGGGGGCTTCTCTTATTGTTTGACAGTGTATCAGGAGTTTGACCACCTCCTGGAGGAGCAGTCTCCCATCGAGTCCTACATTGAGTGGCTGGACACCATGGTGGACCGATGTGTTGTGAAGGTTGGTAAGCTGGAGTAGAAGGTGCAGCCTTGGGTCCTGCAGCCCATCACTCCCCTTGTGACACTTGGGCAATCCGGTGAGCTATCTGAATGTTCCTCAGCAGCCACGGAGCCCTAGGGTTCTAAGCAGAGGCCTGGTCCCCCCTCAGGAGGCGGGGGATGCAGGTGACAGGACTCTGAGTGTCCCTCCCCAAATTCAGCCAGGTCAGCGTCAATTTTATCTGCTGTGTACACTGGGTCTTGACATAAGGTCTCATTTTTTAAAATATATTTTTGCTGCTAAAAACAAAAAGTCAAAAACCATTGCTCCATAGCATTGAACTTGGAGACCATAAACCTTCCTGTCATTTTTCTAAGAGACAGTAATAAGTGAAAGTTAAGTTGATCACTGTTTAAGCCATGCACTCTCTTATAGGTGGCTGCCAAGAGACAAGGGTCCCTGAAGAAAGTGGCCCAGCAGTTCCTCTTGATGTGGTCGTGTTTCGGCACAAGGGTGATCCGGGACATGACCTTGCACAGTGCCCCGAGCTTCGGTAAGGCCACCTCAGCCCTGTCCACATCCAAACCCCTTTCCTCTGGGCTTCATGCATCAAGTCCACCACTCCAGAGTCACCCACGATCTCACTTGCTATCTCTGGGGCCACATGGACATCACCCTGAAATGTATCCATTCTGAAAGAACACAACATTGTTAGGACTTTCAGGGAGAAAAGTGGAATTGCATGCTAAAGTATACAAATCTGAAAAAGAGAGGTTCGCACACAGATAGCATTATTTGAGTTTAAAGAGGAAGAAACAGCAGTGGCTGTATCCCGTTCTGCCAGGTGTCCCCAGTGAATGCTGCTTCCACAGGACTATTTTGCAGAATTTCATAGTGCGGACTTCCCAAGACGGGGCACGTGAAGAAGCTCCGAGCTCAAACATTTGCAAGTGTCTTGATTAACACTCTGGCAGTGGGTAGACTGTCTAAAGTTTTCTTTAAAAACGTGTCCCAGTCTGATCCCTAGAAGAGAATTTTACATTCACTTTCCCTTTTGTTTTACTGACCCCTTGGGTTTTCATCACCTCCAGGAGACAGCCCTACCCCAAGTCCTTGTCTACTGTTTTCCAGTGTAACAAGACTTGAAATCTCTGCCCAGAGGTGCTTATAACAGGCTCTGTGGGCAGGAACCTAATCGCCGACTTGGGATGAACGCTATGCTACATTGTGGGACACAGTTTTCTATTTTTCATTGGAAAGAATGGCGTATGCATTGAGTCCAGGTCATCATTAGCAAAGTGAGGTGGGACTTTAGGGCATTATCCAGACATTTGAAATCTCGAAACACTGTGGCCTCCAGTTTCTAGGCATTTCAGCAAAGGGCTGTGGATAAATTTTCTGGGTAATTGCTTCAGTTCTCTATTTTACTTTGCAAGTAGAGATGTGGTTTTGTTTCTCATTATCTCCAATTAAGCCAATCAGCTCTGGATTTTGCCCTGGGTTTAATTTGACACTTTTCCATCTAGCTTTTTATGGTCTTGTCACCATTTTCCAGTTGTGCTATACAACGAAGTGAATATGTGGTGAAACAAAGAAGGCACTATTTTTTCTAAACAGCTCTGTCCATGAAAGACTGTGTTTACCCAATTGGAGAAGTGTTTTGTTGTGGATTTCTTTAATCTCAGCTTTGGGAAGTTCTCTGAACCTGCCTGCACCATGGCTACAGATGGAAATTCTCTTTGAGCCGTATATGGAAATGCTCTGGTGACTGCTACCTGGGCAGTGCCATCAGGCATGGCATTTTGATGACTTCCAGTTCAGCATAGTTAGTGTTAGCACATGTTACCTCTGGCTCTGGGAAAATCATTCGTGCATAACTGCTTTCACTTAAGCGGATGGTTGAAAAATATTTGAGATTTTTTCATTGCTTCAAAATCAAAGAATCAACAATATCACACGCTTTAATACACATTACACATCCACAAAGGAAGCATCCTTTCCTTGTTTTATCTCTTATTCTTCAATTTGCCGATTTTTAAACGAATTATGTGTACTACCAAGTACCCTTCATTAGACAGAGAAAGCAATTCCTTTGCAGTATTCTTTGAAATTCACTTGTTTTTACTAAGTTAACAGTCAGTGTGATAAAGGAAGTTTGGACAGTAGCACAATTAGGGTTCTATGAACGGATTGAATTTATTACTAAGAAATATTGTTCCTTAAAATGTGTTTATTTCTTTTTGAACCACACACTATTTTAGGATATACTGGAACCTCAGACAAATGGCAAAAGTGGTCACAAGTCTTTTAGAAATGGAAATAAAGAGATATTAACCCAATTTCACATTTACAGTATTTTTCAACGCTAGGCAGGTTGAAATAATACCTGTTTCCAAGTGCATTTAGCAAACTGTCTGAAAGGGTCCTGCTCATCCGACTCATTGTTAAGTTTTGCAGCTTGGGGTGACAGGCAAGTTGAAAGAATCTGCAGCAGACAAAAGCCCAGCTCCCCCTTTCCGCCTGTATATGTCAAAGACACAGTTGGTGGTTGTGTTTGGGTCATGTGTTCCCTGTATAAAAACAGCTAATTAGGAAAAAGAGCCCTCTGTTCCCTGGCCCCCTCCCCCAGCCGCGGGGGCCAGCTCTATATCTTATAACTCCCACACGATCCTTGTCGCGGTGAATGGTGCGGGGTTTGTGTGTCAGCATAGCAGGCTGACCATTACAATGATCGTGTGGAATATCGCAGTGATCCTGTGGGGGACTCCATCACCTCTTCCCAGAGCAGCCTCTTTCAAAGGTAGTTGACTCCTTTCTTCTCCTTAATTCCTTTTCACTCTCTTCTCCCTAATTCCTTTTCACTGAAAGAACCTATGCTGTGAACTAAAGTAGCCAGACTTACTTTGCTGCAAGCAGTGGTTTCTAGCAAAATTAGTCAGCAAAGGTGGGCTAACAGGCAATGAACTTTTTAGTCTTAATAGAGCTAAGCAAATTAGAGTTTCTATTTTTTTTTTTTTAAACAAAAACATATTTTCAGTTGACTGCTCTGATTTCAGTTCACAGGATACCTGGATCCCAAGTCAGTGCAGGTGCCTTTACCCTTTCACTCAGGGTTTTCACCAAATGCCCCTTATTTCCCTGTTAGGAACTTCTAGAAGGCAACAATAGTTTCTGAAAGTAGTTCGGCATAAAACAGATTGAAAAGGAGTCCTGGGTTTGATGGCTAAGGGGACAGGATTACACATCATTCCCCACATTTCCACTTTCTCACGCCTGTTTTCTGACCTAGCATCAAAGCTCACAGACTTGGGCAGGGCCTGGAGGCCACATGGGAGCAATTCTGTCAGGGACAGGCTCCCAGAGCAAGTGCCCATGATGGAGCCTTCCAGACCACTCTATGCTTAGATGTCTTGGCCTGGCACTCTTTTATCCAGAACCTGCTGCACTGCAGGATCTTGACATTTGAAATGTCACCCAGGCTCCCGCCAAGCACTAGGAGGCAGGACTTTCTTTCCCTGTATTCAGGAGAGGAAGCAGAGACCCAGAGAGGAGAGGGGATTTGCCTATGGACGCATGGCAAATTAAGCTGAGCTCCCCTCAGAATCTATCCCATGTCAGAGCTCGTGTCCTTTCTGCTATGCCACACTGCCACCCCCTCTTCTAACTCTCTTTGGTTTAATACTACTAATAAAAAACAAAGTAACATATATTGAGGGCCTAGTATGCACTAGACATAATATTAGGCACTTTCTCATTTAATTCTCACCACAACATGTGAAATCTGCTATTCCTGCCCTCACTACAACAGAGGAGGAAGCCAAGGCAGAATATGAAGTGAAAGCAGGATAATAATCATTTTAACAAATATTTAGGAAGCACACACTACCATTTAATTCTCACACTAATTCTGCAAGGCAGATTATAATAGGTGCCTTTTTATAGAGAGGAAAAGGGAGCTTGGAGAATTTTCTTGTCCAAGATCAATATGGCAAGTGGCAGAGCTCTGTTTCAAAATCAAATCTGCCTGACCACGAAACCTCTGCTTTTTCAACTACCACAATTAAGACAAATACCCTGGGCTCAGATGCATGGGACAAAAAGGCTAGATAAATGTGTTCAGTCCTCATTGATGGTTTTTTAAGAAATCCCTATTGATGGATTAAAAAAACTTAAAGCTATGAGAGAAAAGAACAATAACTAGATTATCATGAGTAATAAGAGATGCCAGGAGACAATGGAATAACATCTTTTAAGTGTTGAGAACAAAGAACTGTCAACCATTATTCAAGAGGGAGGGCACAGTAAAGACATATGTAGTTATACAAAGACTAAGAGAATTTGGCACCCATAGAATCTACTATACTTTAAAAAAAAAGCTATTAAAGGATGCATTTCAGCAAGAAGAAAAATAAAGCCATAGCTAAGGTCTGGGATGCAAGAAACAAAATGATCTAGTTATTGTGGCTGTGTAGCAAATTACCCCAAAGCTTACTGGCTTAAAATAATCGTTTGATTATGCTCCTGGAGTCCGTGGTCGGGAATTTGGACAGGGCACAGCAGGGGTGGCTTGTCTCTGCTCTAAGATGTCTGGGACTTCAGATGGGAAGATTCAAAGGCTGGTAGCGAATTGACAGCTGGAGGCTGGAATCGTCTGGAGGCTCTTGACTCACTTGTCTGGTGCCTGGGCTGGGATGACTCGAAGACTCAGACTGCCGATCAAGGTGCCTTCAAGTGGCCTCTCCACGCGGTTCAGTTTCCTCACAGCATGGAGGCCTCTGAACAGTTAAACCTCTCACATGGTGGCTCAGGGCCCCACATGTAAGTGTTCGGAGGGGGAAGCCACATTGCTTTTTATGACCCAATCTCAGAAGTTAAAGTGTCACTTCCCCCATACTCTGTTGGTCAAAGCAGTCACAAACCTACCAACATTGAAGGGAGTACACTGACCCCCAATTCTCAAGGGAAAGTATTTGGGGGCCCTGTTTTAAGATGAGAGAAATTTTTAAATATGTAAACAAATTTAATTAACTATTGATTATAATTTAAAAATTAAATTTATGTGTTAAAAAAATAAAACCAAATTCTAGAAAACAGTACAACATAAGGTTGTGGGAAGGGAATCTTCAAAGAATAGCTAAATCTTACAAGGTCTTTGTCTCAAAATACTAAATAACTTTAGACTTTGTTGAAAAAATGTATAGTTTGGATTTAATAAATGTATAGGATATATGTTAATAAATTAAGTGATCATCAATAAAAGAACAGAATCATAATTTACTGAGGAAAAATGAAAAACTATGACAACTTAGAGATGGCAGGATAAAGAAGCATAGATAAATGATGGTAAACAAAAACCACAAAATAGGATGCTAGAAATAAGATCAAATAATCATCACAGCAAATGAAAAAGTGTCTTCCTTTAAAAAACATCAGACAAATGTTTTTACAGCCAACTTTTACTAAACTTTTAAGAAACGTAAAACTTTTAGTTTATGAAAATGAACATGAAAAGTGATGTTTCACAGAATAAAAATAAAAGAAGGAAAGCTATAC